GTTTTTTTTTTTTTTTTTTTTTTTTTTTTCCTGAAGGCTAACTGCTGAAAATGGCTGTCCACACTCCACAGGGTATAGACATTTAAAAGGTTTATTTGAAAGAAAAGGATAGGGTGTAACAAGTAGAAACACTGCAAGACTCTCAGGGGCCCAATTTGCACAGAAAATGCCTTGTCTTCAGTGTCAACCACCATCTGAATGAAGCAGCTCAGTGAAATTCTTACTGAACTTTATTCCAAGCTATGGGATTGTTTAGGACAGGTGAAAACTCCCAGTGAAGGGAGTGCTTTCAGGGCTTGCTAAGTGAATTTTCTTGTGCAGCAGATATTCCAGCACTGTTATTGTGGCTAAAAATCAAGAGACAGAATCTTTGTCAACACTGAAATTCTCCAACTGAACTGGAAACTAATACTCTCTTTACAACATGTAACATTGAATCTTTGGAATTACTCATTTATATACTAAATATTCCCACAGATTTGACTGTGATCTTATATTAGACAATTATGCTCTGTTTTAAGTATGTATTTCAAAATATATACTTAAAAGTATTTGAAAATAACATAATTGAACCATTTCATCTTCAATAGCTGTTCATTTTACATTTTACTGTTTTTCCTTGATAGACTTTGCTTTGAAATTCAGTGCTAGCTATGTAATCCTGGTACCATCACTTCCTTATTGTATTACTCGGGTAGAAAATAACATGCAGTAAATAGCCTATGTATGTCAAGTTGGTAAGAGATGATTCTTAAGCTTGAAAACACTGGAAAGGCTTTTTAGAAAAAAAGAAATGAAATATGAATTTTGATGACATTGATGGTTGTTTACAACTCAGAAATATTTGTCAAAAATAATTTACTACTCCTATGCCCTTTCCCTAGTCCATTGATGGGGAGGACCTCCTCCCCTTCTATCTGACCCTAGCCTGTAGGTTTCCTCAAGACTGGCTGCATCATTTTCCTCTGTGGCCTGGTAAGACTGCACCCCTCCCCCCCACAGGGGAAGGTGTACAAAGAGCTAGCCACTGAGGAGAAGAGGGAGAGTGGGTGATACTAGGAGGAGAAGAGGGAGGGGGCTACAGTGGGGATACTAAATAGATAGATAGATAGATAGATAGATAGATAGATAGATAGATAGATAGATTTTTAAGGAAATGATACTTGTAAAAATAAATAACATATATAAAATAAACAACATCTATTTAATTCATTTTAAGCAGTGAGTTAGACTTCAAATGAAATTTTAACATTATTTTTCTTTGTTTATGCCTTTGATATGATAACTTGAATGTGTTAAATTCTGTATGCTTTTTGAGGTCTAAAAATAGTTTCTATTAAGTAGCAGTTTATCTTGATCATCTTTGTTAATGAGAAATGAAAGTTTACTACAAGTATTCATAACTAATATTGATGAAAATGCAATTTAAGTTTATATTACACCATTCAAATTCATAGGAAAGAGAACAAAAAATTAAATGAGTTGAGAATGAATGTAAATATGATTTCCAACAGACCTGCTCTCACTATTAGAATGCAATCACTTTATCAAAATTACCATGAAAGTTTATATTAATAAATTAACTTAATTCACAGTCTATACTATACTGACATCACATTTTACAACGTGTCACTATATGTGATTTATTATACAAAAATCCAAAATATCTAAATCATAACAGCAGGGTGCTTGCTTCCTTATCAAAACATTTCTTATAATAATTACTTTAAAATTATTTTCTACACCCTCTTTGAGTAATATGCATAAGCTTTGCAATGTGGTTTCTGAATCACTTCACATTCTTTGTTTTCAGTGTTATAAGTAATGGGACAAGGCTTGTGCTATTACATTCACAGAAGATCTGAAGAAAAGACATATTTTTTTTTCACAGAATGTTTATAAAACATATTTGTTAACTATCAATCCAGTCCATCCAAACTTCTAAGAACAGATTAAGATTTACTATGTGACATTCTACAATTGTCACATGATACAAAATGTAAAAATAAGCAAGTAAGAGGACTGGAGTGGATGCTTATTGGTTCTGCGCACTGGCTGCTCTTTCAGAACATACATACAATCCCTAGCACCCATATAGTGGCCTATATCTATATTTAACTCATACCAAAGATATCCAATAGAGGCTTATGACCTTGGAGGGCAAAGGAATTAGTAAAAATTTATAGCCTAAAAGAATGGGAAATAACTTTTTGAGACTTTTTCGTATCTGTTTTATTAGAAAAGTCTTACAACATACATTTTTAGCTCCAAATAAAATACATTTTAAATAAAACTTTATGTTGATAATCCCCATAAACAAACAAACAAACAAAAACCAGAAACTTATTCAAGTATCAAAATCAATATTGATGGGCAAGCCACACAGTTCAGTGGACAAACTTTTTTACCACCAAGCCTGATGAAGAGTCTGATCTTTGAGACATCAACAGTGGGGGAAAAAATAATGTGACTCCCTTAGGTTGTCTAGTGACCTCCGCACTGCTCCGTGGCATGAGTGTGTTAGCAAGCGTGCACAAACAAATAAGTGTAATTTAAAAACTGCATTGATGGAGTTGAGGGATGGGAATTTACATTATAGTACCGAAGTAGAAAAAAAAAAAAGAGTAAATTAGTTATAAGAGCAAATGATAACACTGAGAGGGTTTGGCTTTGTTTGGTATCATGTTCATCCGAGCAGTCTAGTAACTACTCTTTTAAATTTGGGATTAAGTTCTCTTTTTTGATTAAAATTTTATTTTTTTATTTTAATTACAGTTTATGCACTTTCCATCCTAGCTGTAGCCAACTCCCTCATTTCCTCCCAGTCCCACCCTCTCTAATTCTCAATGAGACTACATCTTTGTTGGTTAATACTGTAACATCAGAATGGATGTTTTCTTATCAAATTCAATGTTACGTAAAAACATAAGTAGTAATGTTTTTCCCTAACCTGAAAATTTTATTGAAAATAAAATTATGATATATAGTAAACTGTTTCAATCTCTTTGCAGCAGCATCCGTAAGAGAGTTGGAGAATTCTCTTATAAATCCAAAATGTTTCTGTATAGACAAATATAATACAAGGATTTATTTCTGTTAAATTTGTCTTCTCTATTGTGACAGAATATGTGCTATAATAGCAATAATTTAGCCATTACTTCAGTTGAATTCATGAATAAGGATAAACCAATAATGCCTACAAAATGTTGCAACTCTCAGCCCTCATTAAAGTAGTATCTTTATGGAGTAGACGGTGGTGAATACAGGACCCAAGCCTGGCTAAAGTCCATAGAATAAGTGTCAGCTGAATGTTCAATTCTGAATGTGCCATCTCCCCTTCCTATCCTGAAAGCTTAGGAATACCATGATAGTAGGATAGAAGACTGTAATAGTCACAGATTGGGCAAGATCACTGCAAAATAATATCTTCTGGACATGACAAGACTGTTGCACTCATGAACTCACAAAAACTTGTTACCAGCTTGGAATAAAAAAGCAAGAATACAGAAATTCTAGGTGTAAATTTAAAACAAGGGCACAATACCCACGACAGAGAAATGAAAAGCAAAAAGAAAGACAAACTAATTAACTGTCCAGTGCCATACAGCCATGAACACGTGAATACAAGTAGCATATAAACCAAACAGGTGAAATGTAGGAATATATATGTATATATATATATATACATAGATATATTCATGCAATAAAAATTAATGAAATAAGATGCCATGAATTTGAAGGAGAATGGGAGAGGTATGTATGAAGATTGGAAAGAGGAAAAGGAAGCTGAAATATTATAATTATGTTGTAATGGCAAATAAAGAATGAAAATAGACAGAAATACTGTCACATGCCTCATTTAATGTTTACTTGCAAGACACAAGATTAAAATAGTAGATTATATGGTAAAAAAATCATGTCTATAATTACAACAAAAAGAAAATAAGATACAAAAAATGAATATGTCTTTAAAATTAGGAGTAAATATCTATAAATGTACATATGAGGAATACTAGTAATTATTACTATGCTATTTAATTAAGAGCATGTTCCCTGTTCCTATGTTCCTACAGGCAAAAGTGTGAAGTAGCGTATTTAATTAATATATGTTTCAGCTATTTTCCTCATTGTTGTTAGGACAATGCCTCACTGATGCAGACCTGAACAACTACTCTAAATATATGCAATTATAATCAAACTTTTACTTGTCTGTCTCTCTCTCTTTTGTTCAATATATATAAGGGAATTAAACTATTAACGTATTTGCTTTATACGTACTGCTTTCTCATGTACAGTTTAATGGCATGGGGTATGTGAGTACTGAGTACAAGCTTGGGCATTACTTTGAAAGTGAGGCATTTCAACAAAAGTCTGTGACTTGTTGATTGCAAGCACTGCATTGCAGCCACAGCTTCAACTTGACCAAAATGTGCAGCGTGGACAATTTTGCAATGTAATTAGTTGGAAATTGGGGAAGCTTAATTTTAAAATTGAATTGTTCATGAAAATCTATTTTCATACTCTATAGCTGAAGCAGTTTCTCTTCATAAAATGTTTTATAGTTGTTTGAAGAAATTAAGTGTAGTTAATCAGAAAGAACATTACGGTTTGACACCTAATTTGAAAGCCCTGTCTTGAAGCAGTGAATGATGGCCTATGGAATTACATAGACCAATAAGAACCCAAATAGGAAATCCATTTATGCTCAAAGTAGATTTCAGTATGGATTAAGTCAGTGTTCCTGTGTCTTTGTGTGAGACGTTTTTCATGCATTATATATGTTCACTAAAATACACAGTTCATAGTTTAACAGATTGAGAAATACTAAACTAATAACATGGCAAATTATCCTATTATTCCTAGGACAGCATATCGCTGACCTTAATTCTCTATGAAAACAGAAAGGAGCTATGAAGATTCAAAACATTAAAAAAGTGGCAAGATATTGTTGGTTCAGTCCTCTGGTTGTATCTCTTTACTCTGTGTCCTTTCTCCTTCAGTGCCCCCAGCCATTGTGATGCCCCAGAAGTCTTTCAATGCTACTGCAGAGAGAGGAGAAGAGATGACACTAACCTGCAGGGCCTCGGGCTCTCCAGATCCTACCATCAATTGGTTCAGGTAAGTGAGGGCCTGTGTCCTCTACATGGTGCTCATGGGGCTCACAGAACAATGGTTGCATTTGTAATTACTTAGAAAGAAACAAACATTGTCCTGTCCCATTTACAAATAAAAATTATCTAACGCCAAATGATCATCCCTGAAAACATTCATACAAGTAACTTTATACACATGGAGTCTATTTAGTAATGTACCTATACATACCTTCATTTAACAAAAATTGACCACAAAAATTAGATCATCAATATCAGAATTTTTCTCTCCTTTTCTTCTTCTCTTTGTTTTCTCCTACTGTAGTTTGCTTGTTATTTTCTTTTTTTTATTTTATTAATATTTTCTGATGACTGGTTTTTTTTTTTTTTTCCTAAGAAGATAAAGGAAGAAAATGTGTGAATTCTGATGAGAGGGAAAGAGGAGAGGATCTGGGAGGATTTAAGGGAGAGGAACAAAATTCAGAACATATTGTATGAAAAAATCAATTTCCAATAAAAGAAAAAATGCAGAAGAAGGGACATATGGGAAATTTTTGAGGTAAAAAGAGTAGGGAGTAGTGTAATTATATTATGCTATCTCATGAATAATAAAAATAATAAAATGGTAATTAAAATAATTCATTATTAGCATATGTGTATATGAGAGAGAGACAGAGAGAATAGGCATATTGTAGCTAGAATAAAGTCTGTGTTAAAATGAATGTTTCAGTGACAGCTGGTTCAGGGAAGAAGGAAAGAAAGAATTAAAGACTTCCTAAAATTCAATAAAAATTAAGATACAACTTACCCGAACTTATGGGACACAATAAAAGCAGTGCTAAAAGGAAAGTTCATAACACTTAGTACTGATACTCCATCCATGGAACATGCATGGAGATAACCTAGAACCCCTGCAGAGATGTAGCCCATGGCAGCTCAGTCTTCAAGGGGGATCCCTAGTAAGGGGAACAGGGACTGTCTCTGACACGAACTCAGTGGCTGACTCTTTGATCTCCTCCTGCTGAGTGGGGAGCAGCCTTACAAGGCTACAGAGGATTGCAATGCAGAGTGTCCTGGTGAGACCTGATAGACTAGGAGCAGAGGGAAGGGGAGGAGGAGCTCCCTTATCAGTGGACTGGGTGTGGAAAAGAGAGAGAGGGTAGGATTGCGAGGGAATGAGGAAGGGGCTACAGCTGGGATACAAAGTGAAAAAACGATATTAATATAAAAAAATAAATTTAAAAAATTTTGAGACATCTCATACAAGCAACTTAACTGCACATCTGAAAGCATTGAAGAAGAAGACAAACCAAAGAAGAGCAAACAGCTGGAAATAATCAAAGTGAGGGCTGAATTCAATAAATCAGAAACAAATAAGACAATTCAAAGAATCAATGAACCCAAGAGATGTTTCTTTGATAAAATCAACAAGGTAGACAAATCTTAAACCAAACTACCTCAAAGGCAGAGAGACACTATCCAAATCAACAAAATCAGAAATTACAAGTGGGTCATAATGACAGACACTGAGAAAATCCAAAGAATCGTTAGGTCCTACTTCAGAAGCCTATATACAAAACAAAAATTGAAAATCTAAATGAAATAGACAATTTTCTTGATAGATTCCACTTTCCAAAGTGAATCAAGATCAGGTAAATAAATTAAACAGTCCTGTATTCCTTAAGGAAATAGAAGCTGTCATCAAAAGTATCTTATCAAAAAAACACAAAAACAAAAAACAAAACAAACAAACAAACAAACAAACAAAACCCAGGGCCAGATAGTTTCAGCGCAGAATTCTACCAGACTGTCATAAGAAGACCTAACACCATTACACTTTAAACTATTCCAAAAATAGAAACAGAAGGGTCATTACCAAACTCAGTCTAGGAGGCCACAGTCACCTTGATATCTAAAACACAAAAATGCACAATAGAGAAAGCGAACTTCAGAATAATCACACTTATGAACAATGATACAAAAATACTTAAAAAAATACTCACAAAATGAATCCACGAACACATTAGTGATATCATCCATCACATAAGCTTCATCCCAGACATGCATGGGGTGGTTCAATATACAGAAATCCATCAATGTAATCTACCATATAAACAAAAATGAAAGAAACACACCCAAAGACACACACACACACACACACACACACACACACACACACACACACACACATGATCATCTCCTTAGAGGCCATAAAAGCATTTGACAAAATCCAACCCAGTAAATGTTTAAAGTTTCGGGGAGATTAGGGATACAAGGCACATATCTAAACATAGTAAGGGCAATGTACAGCAAGCCTTTAGCCATAAATAACATAAAGTACCTGGGCATAACTCTATCCAATCAAGTGAAAGACTAGAATATATATATGTACTTCAAGTCTCTGAAGAAATTGAAGAAGATACTAGAAGATGGAAAGATCTTCCATGCTCATGAATCTGTAGGATTAACAGTGAAAATGGCCATCCTGCCAAAATCAATATACGGATTCAGTGCAATTCCAATCAAAATACCAACACAATTTTTAGACCTTGAAAGAACAATTCTCAACGTCTCATGGAAAAAACAAAAACAAAAGCAAAAAGCCAGAATACCTATTATAAAAAACAAACAAACAAAAACAAACCTTTATATTAAAAGATCTTCTGGAGCTATCTTCATTTTCAACCTCAACCTATACCATAGAGCAACAGTAATAAAAAAAACAGCATGGTACTGGCATAGAAACAGGCTTATGGATCAACGGAATAGAATCATAGACCCAGATTTCACCCACACTCCTATAGATACTTGATTTTGAGAAAGAAATTAAAACTATACAATGGAAAAAAAAAAAAAGACAACATCTTCAACAAACGGTGCTGGTCTAACTGAATGTCTTCATGTAGAAAAATGCAAATATATCCACATTAATCACCCTGCACAAAAGTAAAGTCCAAGTGGATCAAATATCTCCACATAAAACCAACGATGCACTAAATCTGTTTAAAGAAAAAGTAGGGAAGAGTCTTGAACTCATTGTCATAGAAGACAACTTCTTGAGCAGAATACCAACAGCACAGGCTCTAAGATTAACTATCAATAAATGGGACCTCATGAAACTGAAAAGCTTCTGTAAAGCAAAGCATACTGTCAACAAAACAAAACAACAGCCTACAGACTGGGAAAAGACCTTCACCAACCCTATATCTGACAAGGGCTAATGTCCAGAATATATAAAGAACTCAAGAAGTTAAACATCAAATAAACCAAGTAATCCAATTTAAAAAATGAGGTACAGAGATAAACAGAGAATTCTCAACATGGAGATAATCTAGAACCCCTGCACTGATGTGACTGATGACAGCTCAGTATCCAAGTGAGTTCCCTAGTAAGGGGAACAGGGACTGTCTCTGACATGAACTAAGTGGCTGGCTGTTTGATCTGCTCCTCCTGAGGGGGGAGCAGCCTTACCAGGCCACAGAGAAAGACAATGCAACCAGTCCTGATGAGATCTGAATAGGCTAAAGTCATATGGAAGGGGAGGAGGACCTCCCCCATAAGTGGACTGGAAGGGGGTCATGGGAGGAGATGAGGGAAGGTGTGTGAGATTCAGAGAGAATGAGGAAGAGGGCTACAGCTGGGACACAAAGTGAATAAATTGTAATTAATATAAAAAATAAATAGAATAGGAAAAAGAAAATACCACCCAAACAAAAAATTGAAATGATCATCATCTTTACTTATCCAGGAAATGCAAATCAGAACTGCTAAGATCAAAAACTCAAAGGATGAACCAAGGACCATGTATGGATATAACCTAGAACCCCTGCTCGGATGTAGCCCGTGGTAGCACAGTAACCAATTGTGTTTCCCTGGTAAGGGGAACAGGAACTGTTTCTGACATGAACTCAACAACTGGCTCCTTTATGTACCCCCCCCCCAAGCAAGAGGAACAGTCTTACTAGGCCATAGAGGAGGACATGGCAGCCATTCCTGAAGATGCCTGATAAGCTAGGGGCAGATGGAAGAAAAGGAGGATCTCCCCTAGCAGTGGACCTAGAAAGGGGCAGGGAGGAGAAGAGGGAGGGAGGGTGGGATTGGGAGGGAATGAAGGAGAGGTCTATGGCTGGGATAAAAAGTAAATAACCTGTGATTAATATAAAAAATAAAAATTAATAAATAAAAAAACTCAAAGGATGGCACATGCTGGAGAGGTTGTGGAGAAAGGGGAACCCTCCTACATTGCTGGTGGGAATGTAAATTTGGACAACTACCTTGGAAATCAATCTGTTGCTTCCTCAGAAAAATAGGAATAACTCCACCTCAAGACCCAGTTATACCACTCCTGGGTATATATCTGAAAGATGCTCAACCATACAACAAGGGCATTTGCTCAACTATGTTCATAGCAGCTTTATTCATAATGGCCAGAATCTGGAACAACCTAGATGTCTTTCAACCGAAGAATGGATACAGAAATTGTTTTACATTTACACAATGGAATACTACTCAGCAATTAAAAACTAGTAAATCATGAAATTTGCAGACAAATGGAAAGAACTAGAAAAGATCATCCTGAATGAGGTAACCCCGGAGCACACATAGTATATACTCACTTATAATGGATATTAGCCATATAGTATAGAATAAACATATTAAAATCTGTAGTTTTAAAGAAGCTAAAGAACAGGGAGGACCCTAGGGAAGATGCTCAATTCTCATTCACAAGAACAAACAGGAAAGACCTTGGAAGTGGCAGAAAACAGGGAACAGGACAGAAGCCTACCACAGAGGGCCTCTCAAAGACTCTACACAGCAGAATATTTAAACTGATGCAGAGATTCACAGCCAAACTTTGGGCAGAGTGCAGGAAATCTTATGGAAGAAGGAGGAGATAGAAAGACCTAGAAGGGACAGGGGATCCACATTGAGACTAACAGAGCCAGAAAATCAGGGCACAAGGGGGCCTGCAGAAACTGAAGAATAGACCAAGGACCATGCATGGAGAGGACCTATACTTCCTGATTT